CTCCTGCTGGCCACACTAGTGCTGATACAGGCCAGGACGCTGTTGGCCTTCTTGGCCACCTGGGCTGGTCTCTGTAGGGACTTAATGCAGGAAAAGCTGATGAGTCCAGGCTCTGTGGCCAGGGTGGTGTTTGTCTCTTCTCTCCCTGGGTTTCTCTGCTCATTGCTGGTTTGGGAAGGGCTAGAGATAAGGTCAGAGGAGGAACGTCTGGGTTTTGCATCAGCCTCTGTCTCAGCACTCCAAGATGGGCAGCTTGGAAGGCAGATCCTGCGGGGCCTCATCTGAGCTTCTTTTGCACCCAGGCACCCACAACTACACGGGAAAATTCACTGGTGGGTGTCCAAACTTTATCCTGTCACCAAAAATTCATACCTCATCAAATATCCAATCTGGGACTGCTGTCCACCACACTGGCCCCCCCGCCCCCCCCCATCATTTAGAAAATTCTAAACCCCGTTTATTTTATTGCCCTGTGATAGCAATTCGGCAAAACAGCTGAGCCCAAAGCCCTTTTGAAATCCCGGTGCACACAAATATCACAGAAGCAGCAGTATTTACCCAGGATCAAAATAATACTGTGCAAGCGCTGAAATGCTGGGAGACACGCCTGGCACGTGCACATGTCCCCCTGCTCTGAACTCGTGAGCTTGGCTAGCCTCTTCCCATCAGGAGCTCTTTGAGCTGGGAACATCTGGCTCGGCGCGGCCGGGGTAACTGTTCCAAGGAAAACACCAGGCACAGCAGCGAGAGGCGCGGGCTGGAGCCACATCTCGGCACCAGAACCCTACTCCTCCACCTTCTTGCGCTCCTTCCTCGCCTTTTCGTTGCACGTTGTCTGCGTGAGGGACTCGGCTGGATCTTTTTGTTTGCTCTGCAAAACGTGCAGCACGCTTTGTTTTACGGCTATATGCAGGAGCAGCTTACCATCTCCTTACGGCGTGGTCCTCGCCCACCTTAAGCGGGTTTGCTTCGTTAGGAGCTGGTGCTGCTGGTTTGGCCGTGGCCCTCGCTGTTACCCCGACCCCCGGGCACCCATCTCGCAGTTTTTGGGTCTGGCCCGGGAGCAGGCGGCGAGGTTTCGCGCGGCGTTCTTTCCACGGGTTTTGTTACTGCCGAATTAAATTTACAGCTCCGCCCCGCGCGGTGGCTGGGTGCCCGGGTTTCGCTCGGTGTGTCTATGCATTTTACAAAGACCTGAGCTGCAGCCCATAAAAGTGGGGAAAAGGGCTCCAGATCAGCTCTTTTTGTGCCTCGTTAGTGGTGTTTGGTGCCTGATCCTACCGTTTTATCCACCGGGCCGCAGTCCTTTACCTTGCACGTATGCGTGCTCGCCGTCGTGCCGATGCGTCCCGTGCGGTCGCGGCTCGGAGCAGCTCCCGGTGTGCTGCTCCCTTCTGCCGGGGCTGGGGGTGCCCCGCTGTCCACCCCAGCTCTCCGGAGCATGGGCTAAGCCAGAATTCCCTCGTCATCAAAAACACTTGGGAAATAGTTGACTTGTCCGTTAACAATTTTTTATTTTAACCCTCTTGTAGTTTTTTTTGCTGCACATTAGCCTGATGAGCTAAATTGTAAAACAGTTCTGTAACAGGGGTTAAAAATTCCAAATAGTGAGTCAGAACAGGCGTTTGAAGAGACATGGACTATCTCAGCTTGTCAAAATAAACATTTTGTTTAAGCACAGAGTGTGCCACTGTCTGAAAGCTCGTAATTTAAAACAAGACTTCTTTTGGCTTGGCTTTTCCCCGGTCGTAGAGCTGAGTGTGTACAGCGTAGGTATGGAACGGCGTAACTTTACAGCAATATGGGTGCAGTAAAACTTTTTTGGTATGGAAACTTTATTTTTCGGAAAACATGTCAGGCTGTTTCTATTTATAAACTTCGGGAAGAGCCTGGGCTGCCTGTCGGCGGATCGTCCCCGCACGCAGCTACCCTGCCGCGGGCCGCCGGCTGGGGCTCCGTGGGGCTGTGCCGGCTGGGTCTGCCGACCTCTCCCTCGCAGCGAGGGGCTGTCCGTTTTCAGAGCGCGTGGTTCACGCCGGGGAAGCGAGCAAAACCCCAACACCCGCCCCTGGGACGCAATGAAAACCAGTTACTGTCAGCGGGCGTTAACAGGAGTGCCGGCTTGTAGCCGGCAGCGCGGAGGGGCCGGGCCGGGGGAGCGTGGGGAAGGCAGAGCTCGGCGCCGGCCACGTTCCCGCAGCGGGAGCACGGCTTACGTAAATCAAATTCCTGATGCTTTGCACGCCCGGAGCCTGTCTGGCACCAGCCGTGGCACAGACAGAGGCTCGCGGGGCGTTG